AAAGGCTGAAAATTAAAAAAAAAAGTTGTCCTATTTTATCCTGTCATGCAAAAAATAAGGATGTGTGTATGTTTACATAGTAGTGTAGTTCAATTTAAAAAAAAAAAAATTTCTACTGTGAAGGACATTTTTGCCTCATTTGGAGAACAATGTAGCATCAATATTTGTTTAAGATGTTATTCCAACAAGCACTTATAGCTGAGCTTGATTCAATGCATATGACTTAAGCGTGCGCTGAAAATGTTGAATGTTTGCTGAACGAGGGCCTAAATCAATAAGCCACTTGGGCCAAATCTATATGACAAATTTTCTTTTGCCATAACTTTTAGAAGGTTATGAGATTAATAGTTGCTTAAGTGGGGTAACTGTAAATAGCAACCTCCCGTCATGCTGCCAAAACTTAAAAAAGGAAGATCCTTTTGCTAGAAGAGTTTAGGTCCTCCCAGGGAGTTACTTAGCTCTACCAGCAGAACTCTATTTGCTATTAGCAACTGAATCTCTACCAGGGCTTTCCTGCTAAAAGTCTACCAGGAAAGTATTTTAGAGAATAAGCTACCACGGGTTTTTGTGTGTTTTGATTTACAACTGATGGCTTTTCCATTTCCCTATATTTTTCCATCATTATTTGCACGTTTCAGAGGATTGCTGTATTGCAACCCGTGCTCTGAAGCCGTCATTTCACCGGTTTTGAAAATGCAACTGGAAGTCTTCTTGAGTTGTCCATCCCGATCTCAAAGTACAGTAAAAGTAAAGGTATGGCACGAAACGAGCTTCTGTGTATTGAGTATAGTGAGGCTAGATGCGTAGACACATAGGTACACTAAGCCACACTTGTATGAACAGCTCTGTCAGAAGAAAAATTAAAAGATGTGAGAGTATCCCATAATTTAATCTCATACTAAACTTGTGTTTCCTTCGACTAAGAACCCAGTTCCCAGATCTTACTCAAATAATAGAGTCATTGAATTCACCCTGAGGTTTGCGAACTGCTTTATGGTCCAGCTGTAGGGCTTTGTTGGGTTGGGCCTTGGGGAACTTCGGTCTCCACAGCCTAGAAGGAACGTGTATTTTTAGACTCCCATTCTGAACTTCTGTTGTGTCACCTCTCCTCTGCTTTCTTAGCCAGAGAAACAAAACCGTTCTATATTAAAATGATAAATCTTTGTTCAACGTGACTGTTTTAACCTGCGAACAGAATGTCTGTGCATGCGTAAGATATTTGTCATGAACAAAATCTGTTAATTTTCTCATTCCAGCTGTTACAAAGGACAATCTCTTCTCTCCTGATGTCCTCCGCCAACGAGGATGGGGTAGGTGTAATGAGTGTTGCCAAAAGAAGGTTAAACTATATAACTTACTGTAGAGGCAGAGTACAGGAGACGTGAATCATGTGGGAAGATACTTGAATCGTAGAAATGAAAGGGATTCCTGGAGGTCATCGTCTGACCTACCACTCACACCGGGCTGTTGCCAACGCGTAGGCAGGTCAGCTGTGACTTTGGCCGGCAGGGTCTTGAAAACCTCCAAGGGTGGAGATTCTGCCTTTCCAGGCAGCTCCTTCCAGAACGGCGCTAGGAGCAGTAGGAGATTTCACTAGAAATAATGAATTTTTTGCTCGTGTCCAGCCTAGGATTTGAGTGGGCTGGACCCTTTGGGAATCCCGCCTTCCCCCCCGCTGTCGCTCGACTGTCACCAGGCTGACTCCCTCCCTTTTAGCAGCGGGGTGCGCAGGCGGCTTCCGCTCAGCGGCGGATCTGCAGAGCTACCCTCAGGTAGCACCACGCCCAGACACTCCGTTTTCTGCCTGAGGATCACCAAGTCAGCAAAGACGTGGTGCAAGCATCCCACCTTTTCGGGATGGTCTTCTGAGCCCTGCAAACCACAACTACTTTCTAGTAGCACAACCACGAAACTACTGGCAGGCGGTAATAGCAGCGAAATTTGCAAAAGGCATGCAAGGAAACACTTTATAACTGTGTGAATGAAACATGCACGAGCCACGGAGATCCACGGGCTAAAGTACGGTTTGTGTAATCCTGAAGTAGCGATTCCTTTAATCTGGGAATTCAGAAGAACCCTGACGTTTGGCACAGTGACCCAGATCTATCGCAGGGGAGGGAGGCCCCGGGGTGGGTGCCTGGCTGGCATTGGCTGCCGGCTGGTCAGCAGTGGAGGAGCGGCACCTTCAGAGGGTGATTAAGTCCAATTAGCAGCCCGAGATCCCCGCTGCTCCACCACACACGGGAGGGAGCAAAGGTCAGCTCGTCATCTTGTTTAATCATCCCAGTTAAATATCTTCAGCTAGGTGACATGTAGTGGGGTCATTTCGCTTTCTCCGTCTTACATAGTCTTCTAGCATTTTGCTATTACGTGCTCCATGGTTTTAATGGGATTTATGGATAATATTCAAAGTGGAACATTGCTCTGAAATCATAAATTATTTTTCTTGTGCTGGAGGGTGTATATTTCATTTAAGCGAAGAGATACAAGAAATTTCTAAAATATGTTTGCTCTCTTAATAGCAGTTAAGTCTTGCTAAGTTTTACAGACTGTGTCTGGTTTGGTTCCAGACTGACAAAACATAGTTCTTTTTTGAGTTATTAGAATTCAAGCGTCTTTTGCATCTTTCAGTTTTTATAGTGCTAGTATTTAGAAGTCTGGCAACTTAGAAAAAAAATTTTTTTTCCCCCTAGCTGAAGTCCAGGGATAATTTTTTTTCTCTTTTTTTGATAAGCACGTCCATCTCTGAACCATTGCATTTTAAAAAGCAGCACATCTCAACAAAGATTAATCACAAGAAATACCACTTGGGGTGGCATTTTTTTTGCCAGTGCTGCTAAAGTTTCCAAGAGTGTAGCTTCGAAATCACTTCTTCTGGCAGGGAGGCTGGGTTTAGTTGCCACTGCCCCTGGCCACTTGTTCCATGCCTTGGGACAGGCCGTCTGTTACAGCTGTTTGTGCAGCTGCATGGCGAGTCGGACTGCAGAACTGGTCTGGGGTAAAAATAATCTAGGGGATAAAAATAAATAAATAAATAAATAAATAAATAAATAAAGGAAAAAGGGTTGTTTATACCTTGAATCCAGCAATAGACGTGGGTGTCACATAGCTGTCCAAATGCAGAGCCCAGCTGACAGCCGGGCCATGCTCAGAGGCTGGTCGTAGGCAGGTCCCATCGAGGAGAGGAATGGATGTAACGCCGAGACAGGAACCCAGCCTTCGGGCCAGCTACCGGCTATCCGTGTTACCAGTTCCCCTGGCAACGTGCTCCCTCATCTTAGAGAGCTCATCCCGGCCTCGCATCCCTCTCCTCCACGCAGAATACGGCCTTTGCAGTGCACTCGGGCGCAGCTCGCGTGGGTGAACTGCCGGTCGGATGGTTAAACCGGGGGGGACTGTGTAGGTGCCGGTGATCATAAACGATGCGCGATCCAACACCAGGTTAAACATGGGGAGGGGAGTAAAAAGAGTTACAAAATACTTTCAGTGGATCTGTTGGCGAAGGTAATCGATATATAATATGTATATACACATTGCTAGCACATGTGAATCCCTGCAGGTGTCAGAAAGCTAGAAAAAGGGAGTACATGTAGGTTATGCCTCAGCAAAGTTGAGTTCAAAGTCACAGTAGCTTTTGTTGGTTTTGTTGTTTTTTGTTTGTTTGTTTTTTTTTTAAACCAGCTCATTTTTAAAAGCCTGGTAGGGAAGCAGCACTTTTAAGCAGGAGTGAGATCTAATTATTGAAAATCTAATGCATTAATTCTTCCCATCAGTTCTAATACACCTTTCTTTCTGAGTCCTTAAAAAAAAATTGTCTATTGGAAGAGGACCTTACACCCTGCATCTTCCGAGCTGAATGCTGCTTAGAACAGAACGTCCAGGACTGTTTGTTTTAATCAACATGCTTTTATCACTGCAGAGTTATGAGGTGCAGAGCGTGCTGGGAAAGGAGGTGGGGTTATTGAACTGCTACGTCCACTCCGTCTCCAGCCACCCCAACTGTGTTGCACTGGAGGAAATTGTTCTGCTGGAAGCAGCAGCGAGGCACTGAGCTGAACTCTAGTCAGCTACCACAGTATCTGTGGACTTTGTAATGTGGTTATCTGTTAACTAGTGCCACAGATAATGTGTAATGCAAGTAATGATAAGTATTACGATAGTTTATTAAAACTGTGATTTACAAAGCACATTGTGCTAGTGCTGAAAAAAAGCCATTTCAAAAAAATCTGTTTGACTTCCTGACCTCGTCCTTTTCGGATCAGTTCAGAATTTACAAATGCAGTTCCTTGGCGTGTTTGCTGTTTATGTATGTAAAGCATCTTGTTCTGGAGTTTTGAATGGTTGTGAGTTTTTTTAATAATACGGTATTTATTATGCGTAGATGGAAAATACTTTGCTGATATTTTTGAAATAAACACCTTGCTCTAGGTGGTGAACATTGGTCTAAGCTGAGTTTTATCAGCGGATTCCAGACGTACCGCCGGCCGCAAAACACCGCGTTGTGCGCGAGTTCTGAGTTGTAGCATTTGTTATCACCTTGCAATAAACGTTATAAAGATGGAGATTTGAACAAAGATTATATTTTGAAGTGTTAAGCGTATATAAAGTTAATGTTTTACAGCTAACTGGTCTCTAAGCATAGAAGTACCGTGTTATCTGCCGCTTCCCACAAAGCAGCTGCTTCATTAGACGGTTTCGGGTGACGAGCAAACTGCTTTGTAGGCCACCTAACTATCCTCACCCTGACTCTACGGAGACATGCATTACAGAGCAGATAAATAATACCAAAATCTTCCCGAATGTGCATAGTTTAAAATGCAAGAATTGATGTAAGAGTTCAGTCAGAGTTTAGATTTTTTTTTCCCCCTTCCTGGTTATTTAAAAAGCCCGTACAGGTCAGGAGTGAGTGGTTTGGTGCAGGTCCCCGTGCGCGATTGCGCGGCAGAAAAGGGAGAGCGAACTCGTCGCTGCCGAAGTCGTTCCTGCGGCCGAGGCCAATCATGGGAAGTCTTCTGGACACCCCCGTTACCGAAGGAATGACCCAGCTTTTGAATCCCCCTTTCCCCCCCTCTTCCAAGTGTTTCTCACCTGTAAGGAAGAAGGGGTCGCCAGCCCATTCCTGCCCCGCACGTGACCGGGGTCACCGCTTCGAAACCATCGGGATTTCTCTCTCTCTTGGGAAGCACCGGCTGCCAGGGCGTTTTTCTGCCAGCGCCCTACAGCCGCCCTCAGCTTTACCCAACCTCAGCTTTACCCAACCTCAGCTTTACAAAACCTCAGCTTTACCGAACCTCAGCTTTACCGAACCTCAGCTTTACCGAACCTCAGCTTTACCGAACCTCAGCTTTACCCAACCTCAGCTTTACCGAACCTCAGCTTTACCCAACCTCAGCTTTACCCAACCTCAGCTTTACCCAACCTCAGCTTTACCAAGCACGATCAAAATTCAGACGAGCGGCCCAACCTCTCGCAGCAGGTGCGCTCGGCCGGCGTGGCGTTGCTGCCTGCCCGCGCTTCGCCCGTCGGCTGGGGCCTGCAGAGCACTGAGCTGCACCGCCGCCACATCCCCCGCGGGCTGCAGCATCATCTGCCTCGGGACTGCAGCTCCTTCAACCCGAGGAGCGCGTTAGCGAAGGGGCGGCTAACAGTGTCCCAAGTGGAAACTGCTTTGAAGTGGTTTAACAGGAATTTTAACTAAAGGTGTTCTTCTGTTCATATGTGTGTGTGTGTATATATATATATATATAATTTTTTTTTTTTTGCATGCAGTGTTTCCAAGAGTCCTGGCCAAAGAGCAGCCCCTCCCGCAGTGCAGGCGCTGCTGGGGCCCAGCGGCAACTGCTGACTCAGCAGCCCAGCGCAGCGCAGCGAGTCCCGGGGGGGGGGGGGGAGCAGCACTTTGGCAGGACCGTGGGCGAGTGGGCCAGTGAACCCCCCCACCAGCGCGTTGCCCCTCGGCTGCTTTAAAAACAAAACAAAACAGACAAAAAAAAAAAACAACAAATGCCGGTGCACCTCACACCCCCCCCCCTTGTCCTCACCTCACCGTGTCAGGGGCTGGCACCCCCCCCCGCTCCCCCCCCGTTGGCAGCAGCTCCTGGGAAGTGCAACTTCCCCCGCTGCTTTCAAGACACAGAGCAAACGAGAGCAGGGTAGATTTAAATTTTTTGGTTTTGTTTTTTTTATTATTCTTAGAAATGCTGTAAAAATGCATATAAAAGGTCGAGCATGCTCAGTCTTTTTTTTTTTTTTTATATCCTACTGTCTAAAATACATGGGTTTTGAATCATTTTAACAGATGTACCATAGCTGCATCGGTATGAGTAAAATGTAGAAAAGACGACAACTACCATTACAAAAATAATTTAAGGGGAGAGAAGAAAATATATATATATATATTTAGCTTTTTTTCCTTTTTTTTTTTTTTTTTTCTTTTTTGCAAGTTCCGTGGTGGAAGACCCGGGCATCCTCGCCCCACGTCGCTACACCACCCGGGCGGCGGGTCCCGCCGCGGCTTCGCGCCTCCTCCCCGCGGCCGGCCCGGGGCCCCGCGGCGCGGCCAGGCCCGGCCCGGCCCTCTGAGGTATTTATCCACGGTCTCCCGGAGTCCGTCTGTCCGTCCCGCTCCCCCCGCGGTTACCGGCAGTCGGTGCCCGAGCCGGGCTGCAGGAAGGAGGCGCTGGGCAGCTGCTTGAAGAAGTGCCGGAGGCTGGTCAAGTCCCGGGTGAGCTGCTCGATCTTCTTGTGCAGCTTCTCGTTCTCGGCCGAGAGCTCCAGCAGCTTCTGCTGCATCTCCTGGTTGCGCCGCTTCGCCTTGTCGCGGCTCTTGCGCACCGCGATGTTGTTGCGCTCCCGGCGCTGCCGGTACTCGGGGCTAAACCTGTCCACGCACTTCTTCCCGCCGCGCTCCTTCCCGCCGGCGGCCGGCGGGACGACCTGCGCCGCCACGGCCACGGCCACGGCCACGGGGGGTTTGGCGGCGGGGCCCGGGGAGCGGGTGCTGCAGCTGGAGGGGGAGCTGCTGCCCGGCGGCTCGGGGGAGGTGGGCGGCGTGGGCTGCCCGCTCAGGTTCATGATGGTCTGGGCGCAGGTGGCGATCTGCGAGGGCAGCAGCGAGGAGGAGAGGTCGCTGTCGCTCCAGTCCGGCTCCTGCTTCAGGGCGCCGCGGGAGGAGGAGGAGGAGGAGGAGGAGGAAGAGGAGGAGGAGGAGGAGGAGGAGGAGGCGGTGCGGGGCTCGGCGCCCAGCAGGGTGGTCATGGCAGCGCCGAGGTCCTTGGCGGGGTCGCGGCCGGCCCCGCCGCCCGGCGGCAAATACTCGCCGTAGTCCCCGCCCCGCTCCGGCTTGTGGTTGCTGTTGAAGAGGTCGGCGAAGAGCTCGTCGTTGCAGAGCTCCAGGTTGGGCACGGCCGACATGGAGTCAATGTAGGAGCTGAAGTCGATGGCGCTCTCGTCCTCGTACATGGCCGGGGCGGCGGCGCTCAGCTCCGCCAGGTTGGTGCCGCTGCCCCCCAGCCCGCCCCCCGCCTCCTCGCCGCTCATCCCGCGGCCCCCCGGCTTGCAGGCGGGGCCCGGCCCGCCGCCGCTGCCCACCTTGGCGTCGTAGAAGTTGGCGGGCTCCAGGCACCAGCTCTTATAACATGCCGGGGAGTCCAGGCTGTAGAGAGCGGCGGCGCTCATGGGCGAGCGGGACGCGGCGCCGCTCGGCCGCGGCGATGGGGCTCCGGGCACCAACCGCTGATCCGCGACGATCGCGGCTCCGGGCTCCGCCACGGGCAGGTGGGGAGCGGGGCTGCTGCTGCTGCCGCTGCTGGGACTGGTGCTCCGGGTGCCGTCCCGCCGTCGCCTCGCCTTCCCCGAGGGGGCCGATCCGGGCTGGGAAGGAGGAGGAGGAGGAAGAGGAGGAGGAGGAGGGTGGGTGTCACGCCGCGCTCGGCGGTGGGAGGCGGGGATGGGACAAGGCGTCTCTGGACCTGGGAGCGAAACGCCCGCTCGGTCCCTTCTTATACGGCGCCGGCCCCGCCTCCTGCCCCGACGAGTAACGAGTGTTCCCGGCACCCCCCGAGGACCCGGGGGCGGGAGCGGGTGGGGTGCGCGGCCGCGGAGGCAGGGCTCCGGCCGCGGAGAGCTGCCACCTCCCGGCGGAGGTTGGCTGCCGGCGGGGCCGGCCCCCCTCGGGGGGACGGGAGGGTGCGGGGAGGGGGCAGGCGCCCAAAGGGGCGCCTGCCCCCTCCCCGCACCCTCCCGTCCCCCCGCAGTGAGGGCTGCCCCGACGCCGGCACCGTCCCCCTATTCCCGCTGCATCACTCCGCTTGAGCGTGTTTTCCCCTTTGCCCGGCTTATTTCCACACGGAAAAGCCTCGTTTTATCCCCTCCACCACCACGCAGCATCTTCTCCCCCCCCCCCCCCCCCCCGACCCACCCGCCCCCCGCACGCGGGTCCGCGGATGAAGCGATACGGGGAAAGACGCCGCCTGCCCCACGCGTGTCTCTGTGTATCGCCCTAGCGCCCTCCCGAGGCTCCGCTCCTTCCGCTGGAGCACGGGCGGCTGTAAATCGCCCCACGCCACGGGTGACGGGGTGCCCACACGGAATTCTCGCAGGACGCTCCGGTGGGGAAAGGGGAGGGGGGGGGGTGTCTCTAAGGCATCTTTAGCTGCTTCACACTGTCTGCGTGAACGTAAACCGCTTTAAAATCTTACGGTAAGTAATTATGCATTCCTTCCCCCCCCCCCTTGCATCCAATAAACTAGTACTATTAAATTGGCAAGTATCAGAGAAATGAAAATATTTTCATTTCAAATACGTGAAATGTGTAAGTTTTCTAGTTACATAAGAGTTTTTAAAACCCTGGCTTCACCCCCAGGTGCTCCACTGACCGAATTACAAAAGAAAATAAAAAACAACAACAACAACAACAAAACTTTTTTAAAAAAATCTTATTTTAGTTTTTTTATTTTTTTAAAAAAGTTGGGTTTTTGTTTTGTTTTGTTTTTTAATTTTAGGGCTTTTTTTAAAGTTTTTGTTTGTTTGTTTTTTTGTGTTTGTTTTTTTTTGTTTGTTTGTTTTTGTTGTTGTTTTGTTTGTTTGTTGTTTGTTTTTTTTTCTTGTTGTTGGGGGTTTTTTGTTTTGTTTTGTTTTGTTTTGTTTTTTTTCCGGAAGACCCCAGCTAGATTTATGACTAAGCCCGGCCGCTGAGCTCCCAGCCCGGCGCTCAGCCGCCGCTGCCGTGCCCTCGGTGCCGCTCGGGGGTGGCTTTTCGGGGAGCGGGGGGGGGGACGTGCCGGTGCCCCGGCCCCGCTGCCGCGCCGCGGGCAGCCTCCGTCTGCCGCTACCGCAGCTGCTGCAGAAACGCAGCTGTTTCTCGACGGGGCGTGTTTTGACATAAAGAGTTGGGACAGGACTGGGACGCGCTCTCTCCCTTTGGCTGTGAACTCCTCGTGGGATCGGGGTGGGTGTGCGCTGCCCGGCAGGTGAGGTGTGGGCGTGGAGGGGCTTTGCTTTGCTTTGCAGCGCGCCCCACGGAGACGTTGTGTTTAAATAAACTTGATTTGCTCACCAGAGGCTTGATCGTGCAACCTTTATCTACCCGAGCCTTTAGCACGGAACTTGACAGTGACACGAGAAGGAGCTGCATCTTTTTTTAGCGCAATTTTCCTTTTCCACATCGTCAGGAAAAAAAAAAAAAAAAATCCCCAAAGCCAATTCTGCTTGTTGTTGCCTTCTGCCCTCCGGTGCTGGGGGACATTCACGTCACACAGCTCCACGCCACCCCCACCCGGGCCCGGCTGGGAACAGGGGCCGTCGCTTGGTGCTCCTGGACCCTTTTTCCTCCGCATGAAGCATGGGAAGGTAGTTCAGGAGTGGAAGGTGGAGAGACCCACTCCCTTCCCCGTGCTCTGCGACAGGGTCTGTTGATTTGCTGGAGGGCAAATACGTCTCACCTGTCGTAGCCATAGAACCATGATTTGTCCTGGAAAGCATCTCAATTAACTGGACGTGGAACTGTGTTACGCTTTCAGCTCGCTGGAATCCTTATACCCCAAAGGGCAGCTGGTCATCAGATGGTGCTGGCACGCAGCTGCACCAGCCCAAAGAGTCTCGTTTAATGCCCATCATGTGTTACTCCAAAAAAGAGTCGCAGTTCCCAGCCAGGTCACCCAGCCCCCACCGAGCACCCTGCCCTACGGCAATTAGATTCTCAAAATCCCTCAGTAAATGTCGGCACCCGAGCCCTGGGTAAACCCCCGCTGTCTGCCACCCATGTCACACCTCAGCCCCGCCACGGAGGGTGCAGGCTGTGCTTGCAGTGTCTTCAGGACCTGGAGGTGATCAGAGCTCGTGGTCAGCCCCGTCCCCCCAAAACCAAGCGGCGAGAACCATCCCCTGGAAGGCAAGTTGGTTGTGTTTGGTGCTGAGCCCGAGATGTGTGATTTCAGGAGCTTGTTTCAGGGCTCTCCCCCCCCCGGCCCATGTGCCATTCGGGGTGTGAAGCCCTCGGGGGGGTGTGTGTGTGTGTGTTACTTACACCTGCAGTGAAGCATCCAGGAGCAGGTAAGTGATAGTTGCTGCTTTCCAAAGCTCTGGGCTGAAGGCAGGATGATGTTGACGTTCTCCTGAGGTGCATTTGTCTGGCCTCACAGCAGCTGAATCTGTTCCCAGCTGCAGAAGTAATTTCATGAGTCATGAAGCAGAGACAAACCCTTGATTCCCTCACCTGTCCTGCTGAGTACCTGACCCACCGAATCATGGCTTGCCTCTGGGATCCAGTATGTTTAAACACCAGTAAGAAACATTTTGAGCACCTGAATTTCAGAATAATTTCTTCAAGACCTCTTTGAGGTTCCTGCTCAAAATCAAGAAAAGAGGAGCATTTCCATCTGGAGAGAAAGGACAAGAAAACATTGGCAGAGAAAAGACAAAACTTTACAATAGTCTGGAGCGTCAGCTGTGAGTCCCAGAGAAGCACCGGGACCCTGAGCCCTCCAGGGTCAGGAGTTAACTCACACTGTATTTCTTACTAGTTTTTCCTGATAAATGGAAAAATAAATTCCTGATAAATGGGAGACAGGCCACCCAGGGAAGGCGAGGAACCAGGGCAACGCTCCAGCCTGGCTTTAATCCTCCTCCCCGTGTGGTCGCCTCTGGCAACCCAGCCAGATGTGCAGGACTTTTCGGGACAGAGGAGCTGGGACCAGCGGGGCTGGGCTGGTCCTGCGGAGCCTACGGAGCCTTTCTCTGCTCTCGGGGGGCTACAGGGCTGCAGCAGGACACCGGCTTTTGGGGGAGGGTGTGTGTGTGTGAGTGTGTGTGTGTGAGGTGGGGCATGCGGTTCATGGGCTGGGGTAAGGCACCTGTGGAGCAGGGCTGTGGGAGGGACACCTTGTCCAGGAGAAGCACCTGATGGCACTGGGTTTCATGGGGGAGGGCTGGCTGGTGACAAAGAGCCACCTGACAAGGGGGAAAAAGATGAGGGGGTGGGTTGCCTGGTTTCCTCCCCCCCACCCAAGGAGAAGCAGGAGTGCAATGATCGTTTCATTCAACGGCTAGAAGCCAGGACCTGCACTCAGGGGATGACCAGGGAGTAGGATGTGCAGATGAAGAGGTGCAAGTTGTTTGGGGAGAGCCAAAAATACCTGCCAACGCACTCCCGGGGAGCACCGGTACCCCCGTGGAGTCGGTGTTGGCTCTCGTCAGGCAGCGTGCTAACTGCCGGGCAGACCCTCCCTACCCCCTCGTCCCCCCTCTGCCAGGGCTCGTGCCTCTCCCTTCTCTTGAACGGCCGTGACAGTATTTTGCTCATCACTTGTGCTCGCTTGGCTCAGTTCATTGCACTGACCCAGCCTGCGGCCACCCTACTCTTACCGGCTGAATAACTTGCTGGTGAATGAAAGGATTGTTCTTTTTCGCTCTTTTAAACTCTGTGCTCCGAGTCCCTGCAGGCATTTGTGCCCTGGTGGTGCCAGCCCAGGCTGGGTTTGCCCGGTTGCACCAGTGGCTGCTGAGCTGTTGAATTACATCTTCCAGGTGCCCAGGCTCCCAAAAGGCCAAGCGCCGCAGCAGCCAAACACCTCAGACCCTGCGCGCCTCGTCTTCTCACGCTCTTTGGCGGAGGCTCTAAACCTTTTCTTGCTACAGGTTTTCCAAGAGTTTCCAGCAGGGATGAGATCCGTGAGATCAAATTCACAGCCTACGTCTTCTGCCTAACCAAACGAAATCTCGCACAGTACCATCTGCTGTGAGTTCAATGGGCAGGTAGAATGAGTGTTACTCTACTGTCTCACCGAAAAGGAAAAAAACAAGGAAACAAAAAAGCAAACACCCCCTCCACCCCCGTAAATAATGTGGAAACTGTAACCAAATCTTACAGCCACTCCTTCCCTAAACTTTTTGCAACAAAAAACCCCCAAACACCCTATTCTGGACACTGTTGGTTTAACGTAAGCTGTAGCTCTTTACTAGCTTTGCTACAAGACTGAGTGACACCGTTCGGTGCTGTGGGCGGCTGCCAGGGTGCGATCTTTCCGTGTAGGTGCTATTTCTTACAAGCAGCATTAGCCTAAAAATGAATTTTTTTAAAACTCAGGTCATTTCCGAATGAGGCACATGGTTTTAATAAAGTGACACGGCAGACCCTCATCCTCAGTACTCGAGAGGGGAAAAAAAAAAACAACAAAACAAATGAGTTTTAAAGCAGTGGTCATAAGTCCTTATTTTTAACTTCTTGATTTTAAAAAATATGAAGTTTAGGGAGAAGTGTCTTTAAATATAGACACTTACCTGACTGCAGGAAGCAGCTGGCCAAACCCTTCAGCAAGAAGCCAGAGGAGCTGCAGAAACCTTCTTATTCCACATCTGAAGACGAGCCTTATGAGTTGTTCTTGTCGAGGGCGCGTAGGCTCCTTCCCGTGCCTAAAGTGTGCTGGTGCTGCACCTCATCTTGGCCACAGGCACCTCAGGGTAACATTTAAATTGGGGGGTGGTGGTGGGGAC